ATGGTTTGGGTCAGAAAGGACCTCTAAAAATCTAGTTTTAAAATGCCAGCCTTCTGCAAGATGCAGAGGGCAGCTGTCATTCTCTAGACAAAGTGCAGATGAGAGAGTGGGAACTCATGCACAGAGTAGTGTCCCTCAGTCCCTCACTGCTTTCCTTGATGCTACTACTCATTGATGCTACTACTAGGGATTTTCTCTTTGAATTTTTCCTTTTGAATTTCTCCAGGAGAAAACAAACCCATTTACAAAGACTGACTGTTTAATTCTAGGTTATTCGAACTTCTTTGAAGATACTGTGCAGCAATGAAAAAATAGCCCGTCTCCCCAGCTGCTTTTAAAACTACCACTGACAGTTGTCCTTGCCTTTCCTTGGCTGAGGATTTCCTCTTGCAAGGTTTTTCTCTCTGCATAATTGTCTTCCCCAGGCTAACCTTTCTTAAAGAGAACTTACTTGAGGAAATCTACCCAATTAGACATTTAAATCAATTAGGCTGATTGACAGGAGGATTAAGTCTTGATTGCAGACACAAACACTCAGCTGGAAGAAATATCTGCCTCATAAGGACTTGCTGAGGCTTAATTAGTTAATGTTTGTGAAGAGCTTTGAACACATGAAGTGCTGTACCTGCTCTGTTATTCTCTCTGTTCCCAGTAATGCAGGCTTCAAAATTGGATGTGGCAAAAACAAGGATGGCAGACAAGGACCTTGACCCAATGCCACTGGGGACCACAGCTGTGGGAGAGGACAGTGATGTCTGGCAGGGCTTTGCTGTAAATAAACATCACTGCTGCTCTGTGCTCACAAAACCTCTCTCATCTCTCTGCAGGATGGCAGCAGCTCCTGACCTCCACACCTCATACCAGGTTTTTTTCCCCCACACTGGAACCACACCAGCATCAGATCAGCAGGCAGGGCATGAGTGAATTCTGGATCCCAGTTGTTCTGCACCCTGTTCTCCAGCATTCTTCCCAGGAGGGAATTCAGGTTGTCTGTGCTTTTAAAGAAGTGCCATTCACTAAGGCATCGAGGCACACACTACTAATAAATAAACAAGAGCTCAAGTTCATGGAGGCCTTTGAGGCTGCCCAAAAGCAGCACTGGTATTATTACCAGCTAACACATACCTAGGAAATCTTCACATTAATAGAAAATCTCCACACACCTCAGTGATACAAAAGATCTCTTTTCAAAGAAGCATACAAAAAGTTTCACCCTTGAAAACCTAAATTTCTCTGGTTATATGAGGTTAAATACAGATTCAGTTTTGCAAGTTGTATGCTTCACCAAAAATTACTTACACGTGAAAATCAGTAAAATAACTAAGTATGTTAATTAATATACCAATGAAAATAAGTAGTTTTTTTCAGCGCACATAGAAGTGTCTTACACAAATTGCAAATGTGTATGCACATGTGAACTGAAAAACTTTAAGTTTGGGACTGGCTCAAATTATGACTGATTCACCAAATACAATTCTTTAAAAAAAATTTAAAAATATTTTTAAAAAATAATTTATTTTTTTTTAATTTAAAAAATCATCAGAATTCAACCATTGTAGCATGCCAGTAAGGAGGTTTCCAACTAAAAAACAAAACTGTCCCATCCTTACCCTTCCTCTGTCAGCCCATTTGACATTGAAAACAATTTAAACAACAGTCAGTCCTGGTGATTTACCTTGCCAGAATGAAGCTGCTGAAGTCTTTGTTCTCCCAGAATCCCTTGTATGGGATCTGTCCAGAAGTTCATCCAAAGTATCCTCCTGATGAAGGCTGTTTAGGTTTTGGTACAATTCATAGCAGTCTCATCACTGATTCATTAAAACAATTACCTGAAGAGACTATTTTTGCTAGCGCATTTTGAATAATTGTTGAGGATTTTTTTCTGCTGTGAGGAGAAGTAGTAACACTGGCAGATAGCCCCAAGAACTAAAACAACAGAGGGCATGCACAGAATTCACCATTTATACCATTGAAACACGTGTGCACACACACAAGCTGTAAACCTGAAGAGCCTCAAACAATAGCTACTTCCAGTTAAGAGGAAAAAAGTCTCCATCACCAGCTCTAATCACTTTAAAGAGAGGATTGCCCTCAGAAACACCAGCAGATCTTTTAATTTCAAAACATACATTTTTGAAGATGCTCATGAAGCCATCTTTGCTACTGTAAAGTACATAGGAACTAACTTTAGTGTCACAGAAATACAACACTACGTGTTTGTTTTCCTTAAAACCTGGATTAAGGAGCAGCAGAAAATATTCTAAACAAGGGTGGGATTTTCAAGAGAAAAGGAAAAATTTTACCGTTGTTTCACAGGAAGTGATAATCTAAAATCCATGTTTGTATCTTTTAAGATTCCCACCAGCAAAGCTTAAACAAACACTGAAAGAAATATTCCATCATAAAAGAAATACTGGTTCATTTTCATTTCGTGACCATCACACTCAGTGGTTTCTTTTGGAGTTAGAGAACTAATTCTTTTTCCTGGTCATTAAGGCATTTATCTGCATATCCTTGTTCCAGTTTTCCTGATATATCCTCCTAACTTTCCCCAGGTAAGTCTGTACCTAAAAACAGGTTTTGGAATATTCTGATTTTATAAATGTACCAGTTTTCAGCCATTAATTTATGTAAGGCTTCAGCTGTTAGACTGTCACATTCTAACATCCAGTTCTAACTTCTGTCCCTTGAACATTAACTGTGAATTATGAAAGCAAGTAAAAATAAACTTGCATAAAATTCTCCAGTGGATGCATAATTGCTCAGTTATTTTGCTCTTATTTCTTTTAAGATATTCTTCTCCTATCCTGTCATTAGAAAATTATGATCCAGGTGAGATAATCCAGCAGTTGCCATAGTATCTGCTTGGAATCAGCTATTTCCAGACACACCAAAGTAAGTGGGGTACCACCACAGGAATATCACACACCAGCAAATGTAAAGACATTTTTTATTTCACTCATGAAGCTCTGTTAGATTTGTCTAGAGCATTGATTTACATCAGAAAATAAAACATTTTGAAAAAAAAGTTATGTTTTCCTTCAGCTTTTCCTCCTGTTTTATTTCCCACTTTTTTCTTCCAGAATCTTGTTTGTTTCAAATCATGAGGGGCTGTTTAACATGGTGTCCCTCCCTCTTTCTTTATTTGAAGAAATAATACCTTACCAGGACATACTGGCTTTTAGCCAAACAGCCAACATGCTCCCATTCTCAAAAACAATTCTATGCTTCCATTGGAAACACCGGTCAATAACACATTTTACATCCATCATCACTCACCATGTGAACAGTATTTTGGCCAGTATGTTTCCAGACAAGCTGAAATTATTAAGATACATTTGACCCATTTAGCTACAGCCTTACAGTAGGCACAAAAGTTTCTTCTGAGCTGTTAAATAATAACATTTTTATGATGTAGTGGTGCAATGTCATTGAAGCTCTCAACATTGTGAGCTGGGCAATTGCAAATGCTTAGGTTCACAAAATTGAACTCTTCTTGAAAATCCAGCAATAAGGTTTTCTTGATAACTTACGATACCGTTTAATAATCACATGCTTCCATTTTCTAGGCAAATTATTTTCATTGCTGAAATCCTTTATGTTAAACACTATCTAAAATGTTTTATGCTGTAGTTCTTCATGGGAAATGCCTTCTTACAGTACAGCGGTTGTCACTGAAATTTAGAAAGCTTTATAAAGACAGCAATGACAATGCAGGATTAATCTTTTATATGATTCAATAAATTTTTCCAGTATGATTCAATACATTTTTCCTTCATCAGACTTACACTCCTTATCCAATCTAGCAATCTCACACAGCTCCTGTTGCAGCACCTGCTTAGCCCTACCAAGGTACTTCATGTTCTTACTGCACCAAATATTCTTATTGCTTTAATTGCTGAAACACTCTGGGAATATGTATTTCTTCAGTTTTTAAAATGCTTCCAGATCTTCACATCAGTATCTGAATTTGGAAAACAAGATATATTTCCAATGACAGTTTAAGATTATTAGCTTTACTTTTTCTGATTTTCCAATTGCTACTTTGTCAAAAGTTTTAATTTAAAAAGAAAAAAATCTGCAAGAATACAACATCTGATTTTTATAATAATCACACAAATTTATTGCACTACTGGACTCTGCCTTCAACTACTTCTGACACAGAAAACACATTTGAATCCCACTCCTTACAGCAATGCATAAAATCAAATTTAATTAGATGCCTATACAAATTGTTAAAATAAAGTGCAATAAATTTGTGTGATTATCATAAAAGTCAGTCATTACAAAGAGTTTACAGTTATTCTTAGAGTAATGAGGAGACTGTAATGTCTTTAAGAACCAATATGCAATAAATTTTTCTCACCGGCAGCCACTTTGTCACACATGCAGAGATGGTAGCTTCTTCAAAAATACTATCAATATCCTAGACACAGTTTTATTTCCACTGCTTCAGGAGATACTGCAGGCGTGCAGGAAAATACCATTTTTAATAAAAGAACTGAAATATACACAGGCTACTAAGAAACAGTCTCCTTTGAAAATGCCACTTTTTGCAAGCAACTCAATTTCAACTAGAATGCCTGTTTCCATAAAGAAAGCAAACCTTTTTCTAAACAAACTTGAATTTTACAGAAAAAGATTTAATGATGAGAGAAATCAGTCCTGTGTGCATTAAGCTTAACTGAAGCTAGGTCTGCTTGTCATGATCACCCTAACATCACAACATACATGAATAACACAATATAGGGCAAAAAATGGTTGTAGAATAAATCTCAGCTCCAGTTCTGCAAATATTTGTGTTGGTTTTAATGGGATTACATGCAGCAGCAAAGAAAAACACATCTGTAAGTATTCAAAGGACTGCAGCATTACAATGGGTTCTGCTACTCATAAATGAAGGTAGACACAATACTTACTGAAATTGCAAACCTTTTAAAACAAGCATTTCCAAACAGATACATTGCCAGAAGGTAAAAACAAAACAAAATAACTCAAAATACTTGTCCACACATTTGTTTCCCAATTTATTGGAAAGAACTGAAACATAACATTTACTGTATAATTTACCTTTATTGGAGGTACAGGGGAGGAATAACAACTTTTCTGCTGAAGTCTACAATGTATTTTAATTTAGAAAATTACACCTTCAGCCTAGTTACAAATAATCCATATTACAGAACAAACAGTGCCATTATACACTGTCAGCCCAGTTAAAGTGCCCATAATTCCTTTCAGGAACAAGAATGTCAACAGTAAAGTATTACTTGTGGACTTAAAAAAGACAGAAAAATGCATGCCCAGAAACATAAAAAGCATTTTCCTCCTTACATTGCTTAAATTAAAAGAAAGCCAGGTGACAGAAGAAATTATAGGAAAAATATTTAAGAGTGATACTTATGTGTCTTTGGGAAGATCACTTTATAAACACAGCAAATTTGCTATATTTTCGAGCAGACTGAATACCTCCCCAGGTGTGGGTACTTGCCAAAAAACAAGCAGTCAATTCCTGGAAGTTCACTTTAACAAGAGGACCAAAACCCAAGAGGCCTAAACTCAGGGGATAACATCCCACTTATCCTTCCATCACCCTACAGCCATAAATTGCAGTAACAGAGATGTAGGAAATCCAACTCTAAGACCAGTCAAAAGCAAGGTGGCAGATTTGATGGTGTTTGAGTCCAGCTATTCCAGAGTAATCCAGGTATTCCAGCTGCTAAACAATCTTAGATTAAGAAGGTCCCTGAATAAAAATCTGTGTGTCAAAGGAAACAGTTTCTGCTGTACTGCCAAGCTTCAATTACAAGTCTCCTGGGCACACATTTTTAAATATTAAGAAACTAAATATACGAACAATGACCAAATTCTCATTGTTCACTGTCAGGCAGTTATGCACTATGCAGTGTGAAACACCAGTCTTTTGCAGTCTCACATGTCTAAACATTTCCAAAATTTTTTGCTCATTCCCATTTCTAAGGCCAGAATTTCCTGAAGAAAAACATGTGTTAATATGTCAAGATTTCACCATATTTCAATAATAGGAATGATCCAAGGGGATAAGAGGCCAATGACAGTAGGCAGATGACAGGTGATATAAAATATGTAGGTAGGTGAGGTCTAGGGCAAATGAAATGTAATAACATATGGGAAAATGAAGAGGCTGACCTTGGTGGCAAATGGAGGGGATATGCAGAAACCGCTTTATCTTCAGGCAGTTGAAAAGTTATAAAAGCAACTCTGTCTATTAGGCATGTGTTTTACTACAAAATGAAACACTGATGACTCAATTCTATATGCCTGGATCTTTGTGCTTGCTTCAAGTCTGAGAGCATGAAAATATGCAATCGTGCTTAAAAGCTGCACTCAACTAAAGAAGAGCCAAGTCAGTGGTTAAAGATGGTGGACACACTCTGGTTTCTAAAAGGAGAATATTTTTTGAATCATCAATACCAGATAGTAAAGAAATAACCCTTTTAAGATGCATGAAAGGATTCCTATTCAGCTGATCTGCTAAAGCTTGCAGCAAACAAAAATGTACTTGCCTTCTACTGCCTTAGACCCAGCAAATTCTCTGGAAGTGGAACTTTCCTGTTGAGGTCTGCAATATTAGTATTTTGCAGTTAGCTCTTGGGGGAGGGTTGTTTTGCTTGGTGATATATTGTTAGTATTTAAAGAGATGAGGACACCATAACTTGTTTTATTGTCAGTGGAATACAAAGCCATCTGAGAATCTAATGCACAAAGACTTAAGGAAGGGCAAGAAGGGATATTTCTTCTTCCTAACAAATCAGCAAGAATTTGCTCTGAGTCTATAATCTCCCCCAGCTTTGAGCTTACTGTAGAGAAAGGAACCAATCAAGAAATAAAAATATTAAGGGGAAGATGACTCCACAACCCAAGGAGACAATATACATTAGAAAAACCTCAGGAAAGGAAGAACAGTGATAATCCTCAATCACAGAGTGTGAACATCGTTCATATCTTAGAAACCCTCTTACAGAGCATAAAGATCAGGTCTGCATTAGAATGTCACGCAGAGGGAAAAGCCTGAGAAAAGGCAGTAGCAGATGAGAGGGGGTTTTCACCACTTTTTGTCTTAGTCCTGCCCAATCAACATCAGCAAGCAAAGCTTGAGGCTGAGCTCTCCAAAATCATATGAGTTTTCATTGCTACAAATAAATTAAACCATAATGTTTGGGGACCTGGACTCCCTCAAACAGCACAAAGGCAGATCAAGAACACTGGAAGCAACAAAAGAAGGAATAATGAAGTAGGAGAGAAAGAAAGAAGTAAAAACCCTGAGAAGCACCTGGAAGCTTTTCCAGCCTCCAACCTGAAGGATGAGGGCCTAATGACACACATCTATTAGCAACAGTGACAAACCTGTGCCTCAGCACTGCCACAGCAGCATCTGTACTTAAGAGGTCAATGCAGTGACCACCTGGCACAGTCCATGTTTAGCCTGTCTGGAACACAAAGATAGTGAAAGAAAAACAAAAATAATTGAAAAAATAATTACTTTTATAATCATTACAAGCAAATTCTCCATCTTTTGCACTATGAATAAGGCTGCAGATAGGTTCTTAAAGGTGAAAAAGGCAACTTGTAACACAATCTTCAAACTTTCAGATTCATTATTGATTAAATACTTTTTATCACTTCAGACTTTATTCCTAAACATCTATATTAAAAATAAGATAATTACAAAATATAGTATTGCACATAAGCTATTTTTCCACAGTTTCCTATGCAAAATAGACTTAAATTAACAGAAGATACATTATTACTAGTACTCAAATACAATATTATAATATTAGGTTACATTAGGTTCCCTTAACTCAGGGAAGTGCTTAAATCCGTTCTTGTTTTCAGGAAAAGGAAAAGTCTTCCTCACTCAGAGACTCCAAAACAGAAGTATGACATATCATACACCTACTACTTGGGCATACAGTAAAGATTTGATTGGTTTGTTTCACCAATTCTTGAACTCCACAGCAAGTCTTATTCCAGTAATATTAGAAATAAGCTAATTCAACTTAAAGTGCAATTCTCCTTTAAGAGTCAAGTGATGTCTACATTTATACATAATTCTTGCAGCAAAACAGTCACAAGATGAAACAGAAACATTATGACAGCACCCAACACTTTTTGGTTATCCAGCAAGTTCACACAAAATATTAGCACTCAACAAAAAATAATATTCTGGTTCATATAGTTGTGAAAATGTTCCACTGATTCTGAAATGTTTCTGACATTTCTCATTATGAAATACAGAGGTAGAGCAGCAGCTCTCCAAGTGTAAAACACTCTCCTTCATTTCTACAGGCTGGGTATTCAATGCCAACACCACTGATATTCTAACATAAATATTATTTGCTAGCATATGGAACCTGAGGACAAAGAATTATAAAATGGAAAACTCAAGTGATTTTTTAATTTAATTAATAAATCAAAAGTTCTGAGATTCAAAAGCTGGTCTAGAGCATGGCCCCTTTCTGGACTGTAATTTTCCCCCACAGGATTTCTTTAAAACAGCATCCAATAAAAATATTAAAAACCACATGCAATAAAGCATCTGACGCTTCCCCTGGGAGACCTTTCCACAGCCAACAAGTTGTTTTTCCTCAAGTTGGATTTTCATTTAATTTCATCCCATTGCCTATTCTCATGAAAGCAAGGAGAAAAAGGTCACAGTGAGGGCAAGAGATGGAAAAATCCAACCAAACAAAACAATTGCTATACTACACTGAAAAAATGTAAAAAAGCAATTTAGCTGTAAAGCGCATTGATGACAGGGAAACTGTGAAGGCAAGGTTAACTTTAGTCAGAATTTCAAAGCTTCTTCTTCTCCATCAGCATGGAAAAGTCACAGATGCACATGGATATCTCCAAGAGGGAAAAAATTCAATATGGAAAATGACTGAGTTACCACTCATAATTCTGATTTTGGGAAAAGAAGCAAAGTGTCTTTAGAACTTCCTACTGCTTAGTGCTTAGTAGGAAGTGCTTAACTTCCTACTGCCCAGAGAAGAAAGAAATCCTCTTTGAAAGCTGTTATTATTTGAATCTTAAAAAGGTATCAGCCATATCTTCCACCTTCGAAAAAGCAAATGAAACCTCCATAGTACACAGCACCACCTTCTTGTAACAGGAACATTGTACCATCTATTACCCTGAACAACCAACGAAAGATGTTGCCAAGGGAGATATCGTAAAAAGAAGATATCAGATTTAGTCAATAAGGTTTTGTATTCCCTCACAACCTAATAAATACAGTATCTGGCTCTTTATTTAATATATCCTACAGCTATAGAATATATTTACTTTTTATTCTTCCTTCTCTGTGGCTAGAAGGAATTAGTGAAAAGACTGTTTAAAGAATTACTGCAAGATGTGTATCCAGACAGCTATTTTGAAAACATTGCAAACACAAATCTCCTGGAGGATATCATACAAAAAGGATAAGAGAAGACTTCACACTAGTGAGTCACAGAAGCAAACATTTGTAAAAGATGTAAAAGCCCAAATCAGTATTTAAAGAAGAATAGACGCCCTCCAGAATTTATCTAATCCCCACTGCTTTCAACACAGAGATTCCCAAGTAACATCAGAAGACGTGGATGTGAATTTGATCCCTGTCCTTCAGAATCTCAGAATCAAAGGAAAAAAAGGCATGGCAATAGCCATCAACAGCTACACATTAAATTCCCAATTCATTTAGAAAAGAAACCATAAATTATTTGTTAATCAATAAAAAGAAGACAAAATTAGCATGAAAGATTTCACGTGTCCTCATCAACAACTTCCTTTCGGCGCTGGGCCCGGAAATGGCGCTCGATGTTGATTGTCACTTCCCTCTGCAGATTCCTGCTGTTAGTTTTCCCGGCTGTTCTGATCCAGGGGTGCTGAAGTACTTGACGTGCTGTATAGCGCTTCTGGGGATCCACTATCAACAGCCTGGTGATGAGGTCTTTTGCTGCTATTATGGGAGAAAGCAAAGGAGAGAGGGGTGAAGCACAGTGGTGTGCAACGTGCTCTAGGATGTGCAATCCTGTGCAATGTGCTCTAGCATGACCCTGCTCAAGCGGGGTGTTTGAAACACATCACCCACCATGGTCACTTCTAACCTTACCCATTCTGCAATGGTGACAGCTACACCCACACAAAATGTCCTTCTTATTTTTTTCATTAGTTTTACCATGGTTTTTGTAACTATCCCCAGAAGCTATTCTAACAACTGCAGTAAAGAGTTAGTGACAAAAAATATTAAATGTCCATGACTGATGTCATTCTCCCATTCAGAAACAGAGGAGAAAGTGAAGGGAATTTAATCTTAAAAGTGTACTGAAGGCATCAGGCTAAGTGTTCACATTCACAGGAATGAGCTCTGGGTATCTAATCTCTTAAGAGGTATAAATGTTGTAAAATGCTGTGAAACAAGTCCTTTAAAAGACTGTACAGGGATTAAAGGAGTTCTAGGGTTTCTGATTTTGAAGAGTGCACAAAAGACACTGTACTAGCCTGTGAGAAAGAAAAAACTACTCTGTGCAGACCCCACTGTCAATAGGAAATTGACACTGTTCTGCAGGGCAAGGATTTCATTCTCAGCTTTTGAGATTTTTTTATACTATCTTTACAATGTAACATAGCCCTCGAGATTAGTTTCACACCTTTGTCTGCAGAGACACATAAACAAGATGAGGAAAATCCTTGCTTTTGCTTATAAAGGGAGGAATTGAGGACCCCATTAAAGCATTCCAAACTATATGCAGAAACACAGATGTCAATAGTACCAGAGTATACTAAATTCACATTTGAAGCACAGATTCACACAAGAGACCTGTAAAATCACCCCAAGGTGATCAAGATCACTGCCCTGAAAAGAGTTTCTCCCACTCAGAGAAGACTGCCACTTCTCAGATTTGCTAAAAGTGCAGAATCTTACCTGCAGAAATATTGTCCCAGTAAGGGGATAGGAACTCATAGTGACCCAGCTGTATGATCTGAAACAGCTCCTCTTGATCACGGTCCTGACTGCGGAAAGGGGGAAAACCACAGAGCAGGATGTAAAGGATCACGCCAGCTGCCCACATGTCTACTTCGAGGCCATAGCCTAGGGAAAAAGGGACAAACCATGTCTTGTTTTAGAAAAAAAACTCACAACTGCAAGGGAACTATTTCTTGGAAATAGAATTAAAAAGAAACACAGACTCTCTTCTCAGTTCCGCAAAAAGATGAGGTGAGCAAAAGAATGAGTGGCTGGTACACTACACTTATAAGCTGCCCATTATTAGCTACAGCTCTCACAGAGTCTCTCTTTTCCACAACATGTTTCACAAACACTGTCTCACAAGGCCAGTGTCAACTGGAGACTAATTGAGAAAACAGAGCACGTATTTCTAAAATAGCAATTCTCAGATTCCCTTCAAAAAAGAACTAGGAGTGCCAAGTTTCCATTGAAATTGGATATAACTGGAGATGTGCAACCCAGCTCCACAGAACAAGAAATAGATTTGAATCACCAACAAAACTGACTTCTTTCCAGGTTTGAATATTTTTGGAGATGAAATCTTCAAAATTCCTTGTGATGTGAAACAGATTTTGAATTATTACATAAATTTACATGTTCACGACTTTGCATCATCAGGGACTTTGGATAGTTGTTTGGATTATAGTAATAAAACGGGGCTAGCTACTCTTAGGTTGAAACATTAATTTTTGGTCATTTTGCCCCCTTTAGCTATTACCATCTATGATATTTTATGGCTTATTAGCTTGGAAGTCAGTGATGTATTAGCACAGCCACTAATAATGCAAATATAACTGATGTAATGCTCATGTTTTAAAAACTAAGAGTTTTCCTTTCCCAAATTACACTGCTAGCCAACCTCCTACCCTGAAAAGATATTTCAGTAGGTTGAAACATTCTGGACTACTTCCATTATTAGAAAGTTCAGCATAATTGAAAGATTTATGACAAATTAAAAATATACACTCACCCTTCTCAGCAAGTATTTCAGGAGCAACATACGTTGGTGTTCCACAGACAGTAAATATGGGTTTTGTAACCTGCTTAGCAAGGCCGAAATCTGCCAGTTTCAGTGTAGTAGATTTATCTGCATTGTGCTGAACCTATATCACACAAAATATATGTATGTTTAGTCCAGATGAATTTTAAAACAGCAAAATATAAAGGAAGCAGAAAATTAAACAGGAGGGAATTCTAATAATAGTACTAATAATGGAAATAATCTTCAGAACATGGCTCTTTTTCCCCATACACTAAGAGGGTGCATTTCTTTAAGAGGATAAGCAATTATGGAAAAAAGAAAACCTTGCTCTACAAACTCTGGCAACTGCAATTTCCAATAAATTAATAGAAGGAACACAAAAAATAACCAAGAGTCAATTAAATACTGTTATTTCCTCTTGAGAAAATAAACTGGTTTTTTTCCCAGGGAAAGCAAAGAAGAATGCTGTGGACTTAAATGCAATGAGCCCATGTAAAGTACCGATTTTGGTTTTTAGCCCCCGATAGCAACTAAGTACCACACAACTGCTCAGTCACTCATCCCCCATCTGCCTGTAGCAGGATGGGAAGGAGAACCTGAAAAACAGTGGGTTGAGATAAGAACAATTTAATAATTTAAATTATTAAAGTATAATCATAAATTATTAAAGTATATTAATAATAGTAACAGTAGGAATGGTAACAACTATAATGAGAAGGGGGACAGGGAGAGAGAACAAGAGAAAGAGAAAGGAATAACACCCAAGAAAAACAAGTGCTGCACAATAAAATTGCTCACTGCCCACTGACCCCCAGCACAGACCAGCAACTCCTGGCCAACTCTCCTCAGTTTATTTACTGAGCATAATGCTCCATGACATGGAATATGCTTTTGGGTCAGCTGCCACGGCCATGCTCCCTCCCAGCTTTTGGTAAACCTGCTCCTTGGCAGAGCATGGGACACTCAGCAACAACCAAAACATCAGTGTGTTATTAATGTTATCCTCATACTAAACCCAAAGTACAGCACTGTACCAGCAAGACACACGGAAAGTCTATCTCCATCATACTGGTCTAACAATAAAATACAAACCAACAAAAGCTTTACGTTATTTCCAAATTACTCTGATACTCTACCTGCTGCCCTGAAACCACATTAGCAATGGTCACCACACAGCAAAAGTTGTAGAAATAGGTCCATGCAGAATGACCTCCTAATTGGGCCTTTTTAGCAGTTCTCATCTCCTTACATCCACCTGGCAAGTAGTCAAAATACTTTCTCCAATTCTAATTTTGTATGCACCGGTCTTTAGCATTACTTTATACAGCATTACAGTTAATGAAGGGTTATTTTAAGAAATTAAATATGTTAATGACATAGACCATGGCATCGAGCACACCCCCAGCAAGCTGGCAGGCAACGCCAGGCTGAGTGATGAGATTGATATGTCTGAAGCATGGGATGTTGTCCAGAGGCACCTGAACAAGCTCAAGAAGGTCAAGCCTAGTGAGGTTCAATAAGGACAAGTGCAGGGCCCTACACCTGAGCTGGGGCAATCCCTGGTATCAATACAGACTGGGTTATGGATTGAGAGCTGCCCTGTGAAGAGCAACTTGGGGTAGCTGGTGGATGAAAAACTGGAATAAGCTGGCAATGTGCAGTTGTAGTCCAGAAAGCCAACCATATCCTGGGCTGCATCCAAAGCAGTATGGCCAGCAGGGCAAGGGAGGTGATTCTGCCCCTCTGCTTTAGTGAGACCCACCAGGAGAGCTGTGTCCAGCTCTGGGCTCCCAGCACAGGAAAGGCATGGACTTGTTACAGTGAGTCCAGGAGAGGGCTGGGAAAGAGGGATGGAGCACCTTTCCTGTGAAGAATGGCTGCAAGAGTTGTGGTTGTTCAGCCTGAAGAAAAGAAGGTTCAAGACAGACCTTATTGTGGCCTGTCAATAATTAAAGGGGGCTTAAAAATAAGATGGGGACGGGCTTTTTAGCAGGACCTGCAGCAATAAGACAAGGGGCAATAACTTTAACTGAAGGTGAGTAGATTCGGACTAGATACTAAAAATAAATGCTTTATGGTGAAGGTAGCAAAACACCAGAACAGGATGCCCAGAGAGGTGGTAGATATTGTATCCCTGGGAACACTCAAAGTCAAGTTGGACAGGGCTCTGAGCAATCTGGTCTAGTTGAGCTATCCCTGCTCATTAGAAGAGCTTGGTCTCTTCTAACTCAAACCATTCTAAGATTCCATATTCAAAGTCAAAAACAATGCAGTAGTATAATTATATAAATTAGTATGCTTAATACCAGTGATTGACACCCAAATATTCTTTGAGAAGTAAAAAAGAGTCATTAATTTCCTTTATATGAAAAATTGTTTGTCCCTGAAACTATGGGGAACAGACCAGCAGCTAAAATGTCTTACAAAACAGCCAAGTAAACCTGAACTTGGTTTTGAAAGGACAAACTGGAATATAATGTGACACGTATACTTCGTGTTTTAGCACCCCATATTTCACCATCAGAGATGGCTTTAAGAAGCCAAAAATACCAGATAATTAAAGGCACAGATGTGACAACATTTGCTCTTATACATTACGATTGACTAATCCCCATTCAACATCTTTATGCACACTATAAGCATGCATTCAGTTTTGATTAAGCAAAATGGGTTTGGACTTCTTGGTGTGTTTTTTTTCTTTTTTTCTTTTTAAGAGACAAAAAAACTATTGTGTTACAAAATAACACAGTAAAGCTACTAATCCCTTTTAACCTTTTTTTTTTTAAAAAATGCACAAAACTGGAAGGAGTGATTGATGCCCCAGAACACTATGTGGTCATTTAGAAGGATCTCAACAGACCTGAGAGACAGGCAGGGCAAAACCTTTTGAAATTCAACTGGTCCAAAACCTGGGCAGGAATAACCCATACATCAGTATAGGTTGTGGGCTAACCAGCTGGAAAGCAGCTCTGCAGAGAAGGAGCTGGGGGTCCCAGAGGACAAGAGGTTTTCCATGAACCAGCAGTGCTCTTGTGCATTCTTCTAGTTTTGATTAAACAAAATATTTTGGCCGGTTTCTTGCTGCTCTTCCATGAAAAAATAGTTTTCAGTATGAAACTGAAAATAAAGTTTACTACAACCATGCAGTCAAAACTTCTGCAAAAAGCAGTTAAAATGCCACAGCCATTTTCTCTATTATATTAGGCAACTATGTGACAATCTTTTCCCATCATGTCCTGTGGACAGAAACTGACAAAAATGACAAAAAAATTATAAAAGTAACACTTGCTTTGTAGAACAACATCTATCTATAGAATGTATATTCTACCAATAGGGGTAATAGTGGTAAGATGTTACAAAAATTGACAACTGAAATGCTCAATTTTTATGCAATACAAAAATATAAGCATGAATGTATTTTCCTATTCTATATATATTTTTTTTAATTATACAAGAAAAGCATGTCACATGGAATTTCAACTACCCTACATGCTACTGTACTAAGACAAACAATACTGAAACGTTTATATACATTTTTAGAAAACAGCAGGGTGGTGGGAAGGGTGCAGAACACAATGGTCTTAATCCCAGTCGCGAAATCTTCAGGAGATTTCTTGCTTTGTAAAATGCACTGTTGCACTTTCTCTTTTCTCAGGATGCCAGACTTTTAATCTCCCATTGCAGCACAAGGTGGCAACACAGCATCATCTGTTCCTTCAGGACAAAACACTGAGCTTCCACTTTACTTAACAAGGGAGCAGGTAGGAACAGCAGGCACGGTGGGTATATTTTCACAGTTTTGTGACAATCACTTCAGAGACAGCATGTAACCTGTCAGCAAGCCTGAAAACCTCACCCCAGAACTTCTCAGCAGCTTACTAACACTGTGCTCAGAAGAACTCAGTCACCGCAGAGAGTTCCCTTCGTCCTCAACTTACTACTGACCAGTCTACTTTTCCAAGATCTGGCATCACCTTGAGCATGCAAAATTTTGTATATGGGAAATAGGTAGAGCTTAAGAAAAATTACTGCTTACACATTTGAGTTTCAGACATCCCTTGCTGCTAGCCAGAAGAATCTCTATGAAAAATCTTACAAAAACTTCTGAAAGTTATTGCAGGTAAGTGGTTAAACAGGAGTTTGACTCACATGCACTTAGGAAACTGGCAGTGCTTTGCATATATGTAAATAGTGTCGGAAAATGGACAGTCCTTTGTATATATGTAAATAGTGTCACAAAGTTCAAGGGCAGAAAGGCTATACTTGAAGTTCTCACACATACCTGAAAACTTGAGAGAGAAAATGGGGCAGGGTGACAATCTCAAATGCACAAAAAGCTATAATATTTATGAAGTTGAGTGTTGAAGAATTACCACGTTAGCATGTGAGAGATGTACAAGGAGATGAATACACAATTGCAAATACAGCCCTCTCCCTTTCCCCCTAAAAAGGGGTGACTTTATGTCTTTTACAGCTACAACCTGGAAAAGCAACACCACATTTTGGGCATTAATTTCTCACAAGTGAAGAAATGCCAGCAGCTGTAGAATTAAACAGTCTCTTACCTAAAAACCTTGCCAGCAAATCTTGCTCCATGAGGTAGCACAAAAAAAGTGACTGGCTTCATTTGTGAGACTAAACACACGACATTGCCCATCCTTGGCAGCAAAGGTTTTCTTGCTGAACACCTAGTCCTAAATGAGGTGATTCTGTTAGCAGATGGGAGGGAGTCGTAGCAGCTGTCTTCACACCAGCTGTCAAACAGATTTTGTTTTTGTAGCGCAAGTCACCACCCTTCTGCCTCACAGCTATGCTGCGAGGAGCCTGATCAATGTGGGCAGACACAGTCGTGAAAGAGGGAGAGGAAAAAGCAGAAAGGATGATGGTGGCCTGGTGCAGAAGTTTGCTCCAGGACAGTTCCGTAAGAGAAATTTCCAACTTTCTCTTGTGCCAATAATTCTAAATTTACTAGACATCAAAGTATATTTGCACCTTTTCTTCTGTGGGGACAGAAAGTGTTTTCCTTCTTTCCCCTGTTGCTTATTTTCATGAAACTTAGGGAAATATTTTTTCCCAGATTGCTGCTTCTTTGTCATCTCTTACGACAATTAGCCAGTATATTTAAAAGTCATTATGTCTGAAAGTCATTAGGAGCAATGCAGGTTCAGAATAGACATACACATTTCCTTAGTAAAATAGACCAAGGATCCTTTCTCTTCCATTTCCCGTTTTCTTGAAGGGGAAGAACAGTAGATAAAGATCACAAGGTTCACCTGACCAAAAGAAGACCCAAAGTGGGACAAACAAGTCAACAGCCTAAAAGAACATACTTATATTTTGACCACTGTGTACAAAGTCTAGGTAGACTAATTTAAGCATCTTCAGTGTAAAAAAGAGGTATCCCAGAAACAGGGACATCTCTGCAGGATGCTGGAACTTGGAGCACTTTGCTTCAACTCCTGAAGTTCCTGCTCCACCAAAGCCAATGGACCCATGAAATTTGCTTCAATACTGTTTGTTACTGTTCAGCACTGGCTGATGGTAAGATTAGTGGCGGCTCTCCTTCCTCCTTTGGTACCCCAGCCACTCTAATGAGACAGAGGCAGCACACTAAAAAAAATAGATGCCCCAGAATCTTGCTCAAATGGGCTGTATTTATAGGAATACTTATTAGATAGGTGACCTATCCAATACTATCAGAACCTTAGAAACTCATTTACATGGTTGAATAGACTTGCTTTTCAAAAGTATGCTTTGTGTACATGGTATCTAATACTGTTGTGCACAGAAAATTAACAGTAAGTTGAAACTAGAACAGGTAAAATTTTATTTTCTGCAGTGTTTAGGTAACACTGTTCTTGTATGACAAAATACCTACTGTCTGGGAATGCTCTGTCCTTGAAAAATGCATTCTGACTTTCAAAATGGGCAACATTATTATTTTAGCACTACACAATGCTGCCACTGCCCAGCATTCTCTGCTTTGCAGTTCTGTGAATAAAATGTGAAAACAACCAAAACAGACCTTTATCTTGCCCTTCTTTGCTTATCTACATCACTGTGATGATTATGTATTGCAGAGGGAAATGAAGCATCAGATCTCAGGTGTTTCACTGAGCACTAGCTTATTTTCAGCAAATAGGAAGGAGCAGGACCTGGTTCATAATGGAAAATCAGCTTCTGGAAAAAGCCATACAGTTTTATGTGAAGTTTTGTTCAAACTTTGTGCAAATTAAGCACAAAGGCAGGGCCTATAAGCCCACTTCTTCCTGCAAACCAGCCAGTTGCATTCGCTGCATTCAGAGTTACATTCATTCTTTTATTTACACAGAGATCACATATCAAAGATTTTTCATTAAACTAAGCAGGATTCATAGTAGGACCTAATAAATATGCTCTTGCTTAGTTTAAAGGTTTGGGAGCAAATTGTTTCAGCCCAGCCTTGTGCAGCCTCTGCATTATCCTTGAGGCTACACTGTTGCTTTTCTCCAGAAATTCACACTGATCCCTGTGCAAAATTAATTCTCTTAAAAGCACTGAATGGTCCATAGGATTAAATAATTTTTTGTTGTTGTTGTTGTTTGGCTAACCTTGAACTTCCAAAAAGCTGATAAAAGCCAATTTGTTAGAAACTGACAAATACTTGCTATTTATCAGGAAATCTGGAACCCTAATACAAAAGTGTAACACACACTTAGAAAGGAAGAGTTGTTTTCTGTTAAAATTCTACAATGGATATCTTGTGAAATGCCAATACTACAAACATCTCTATGCAAATTCACACATGTCAATAAGTACATTGATTTCAGTGCTGGATACAAAGAATGCAGCCTCAGAAATGTGATGGAAACAAGAATTTTTGTCTTTGGCATGAAGTTACTATTTTAGCTGACTTTAATGCTGTATTAACCAAAACATTTTACTGTCAGATTATTTCAATCAACTGTGTAATACTTCTGCTTCTAAGCAAAGAAGTTGTCACAAGATAGAAATCACTATAATAGACGACTACCACAGTAGTCTGCAAGATATACAAATGCAGTGGACAAAAAGTCCAACAAATAAATAAGACAATTTAGCAATTTTAATAAACTTTATTCTGCAAGGAAGATGCTTTATGAGTCATCCTTAGACACCTAAAAGTCAGATGCTAAATAACAGATCTGATTTCTGAAAAATATAAATGCTCACCACCCCTGAACATCTGATAATTTTACTTGAGTTCCTTTCTGTAACCACTGCTATCTGCAATGCACAGCAGATCTATGTAAAGCAAACTGCAATTGTAATTTCACTCCAAAATTGTACCTATTTTTTTTTTTCTCAAACAGTCCTGGCACAGCACATTATTTCTGTATGGGATTTGCTTAAAACAATTGTATGGGATTTGCTTAAAACAATATTGGAAGGAAAATAAATTAAATTCCCGCACAAACACAAACATTTGACAATACTTACCAAAAGATTCTCTGGCTTGAGGTCCCTATGGACAATGTTCTTGCTGTGAATATAAACCAGTGCTTCACACAGGTCAGTGATCATGACAGCAGCATCATGCTCTGTGAACTTCACACTTTCTATGATTGCATCAAATAAGTCCCCTCCTGGGACATACTCTAAGATTAAGTAGATCTCAGCTTCTGTCTCATAAACCTCAATTAAGCTTACTATATTGGGATGAGAGAGACTCTGAATAATGAGGATTTCACTTTCCATCATGTCCTCCTTCCCCTTCAGCTTGGATTTATCAACAATTTTCATTGCATAGATCTGATTGGAATCACAGTGGCGACATTCCTTCACCACTGCAAAGTTCCCATCCCCAATAGTTCTGCCAATCTCATAGTGTTTTTCCACATCAGTTCTGCTTTTAATGGCATGCCTCCGGCTTGTGCTTTCCAATCCCTGAGTTTTGTTGTCTTCCTTACTCACTCTACGCTCCCCTGTTTTTTCTCGTCGATTCATGTCACTCTCTCTACATGCGCCATTCCCCTCTCTTCTGGCAGCTTCCTCTTTAGCCCTTTGTCCCTCTCTGCCCTCCCTATGCGTTTTAGATATTTTCTCAGCATCCCTCAGAGTGTCTTTCTTTAGCCAACCACTTTGGTTCATTACACAGCTACTTCCATTATCTTCCTTCACTTCATGAGATAGCTGGAGCCCTTCTACAGCATTCTTCCTGATTTTTACTACTTCCTTCCCATGGTTTTCATGCTTCTCCACATCCCTTTCTTTCTCAATGTTCCTTTTTTGCTTCTCAAGCCCTTCATTAATAATCTTGTGTAGCGGCTTCCACATCCTTCTACTGCCATTATCTTTCCAGCCAACCTCCTCACCCTCCAGACAGGTTTCAGGAGTCTTTCTGCAGTTCTTGACTTTTGTATTTCTTTCTACGTGGTACCTCTGACACATGCCTGTGTTCAAGTCTCTATTCTCAAATGAGGCCTCAGCCTGCCTTTCCCTCCGTGACTTTTCTCTAGCCTGCCTTTCCTGCTCACATTTCTCACACCTCAGCACCTCCTCAGAACTTTCTTCTAAGCCTTCCTCAGAACTCCTCTCATGGTTAAGGTACTTTTCACTTTCTCTTGTTTTTCTAGAAGGTTTCACTCCATGCTCACCACCCCAGCTCTCTCTAGTCCACTTTTTTTTGGTTCTCATTTTTTCCTCTTGCTTTGTCTTGGCTTGACTTTTTCCTTCATGTCCAGCTACCAGCTGGGAAGACAAGCTATCGCTGCAGTTCTTGGTCATTTCTGTCTCATCAAAGCCACTGTCTACTTTCGAGGCCTTGTCATACAGCCTGCTCTTCAGTTTTTGGGACTGCTCCTCATTCGTCTGAATGGCAGCAGTGGCAGCATAAGGATTTTCAGGATAAAGTTCTTGTAACACCACCTCCAGGTCTTTCAAAGTGAGGGGCTCCTTCCCCATAGCTATGAATGCATCACCTTCCCTGAAGAACTCAGAAACACTTCGGATTTCTCTGCCTCTCAGATTGTACAGCTTTCTCACACGGTCATTTTTCCAATGAGGAAATCCCAGAGCTTCTGAAATGTCAGCCATCAACTGCTCAAAGGTCTGGACTGACCTCCTGTTGAGAAGCAAGGTTATCCTCCTGAGCGTGCGTCCCCCGGGTTTCACCACTGTAATTATCCTTGGCTTCACAGGACTGTGCTCTGAATGTATTGTGTGAAAACCATTGTGGGGACTGAAAAATGAGGACCTGTGGCTGCTTTCACCCAAACAAGGTTTTTCATGGTTTCCACGACCAACAGGAGGACAAGTCCCATGCAGTTTCCTCTCTTTTGCTTTAGAGCTGGTGTTGCGTGGAGAATGGTCCAACAAGCTTTGGCGTCCTAAGACAAACAAAAAGTAGGAATATTTATCATTTTGCATCAGCAGACCTCTGGCAGCAATAGTTTTCTACGTGTCAGTGCATGTGACCTCTCAGAGAGTGAGAGTAGGTGACTTCAAGGTTTATAAAGAACCTTTAACTACCACTAAGGAGTATCTCCACATAGTTGCAACTCCAACACTGGCAAGTTTGTGAGAAAATCTAAATTCATTTTGTGACAGGGAAATGTCACTAAAAAAATAATAATTTTGAACAGAAATAGATCTTTCTTCTAAATACTCACATCTTGCAGAAATCCTCAAAGAACAGCAGGATTGCATCCAGATTTTTGTATTCTCTTATTAATACACTTCTCATAAACTCACTCAATTCCCTTCTGAACCCAATTGCAATTTTGGCCTCTGTAAACCCTGTGGCGACAAGTTGCACAATTACACTGCATGAAGTAAGTTAAACTAATTACTTGTGTTTTAAAATTACTAGCAGATGGCACTCTGTATGCAACCTTACATTTTTATAAATAATTATCTCCTCTTCATTTTCCCTAAACCTTCTATAACAAGTTAAATAAATTCTTTTTTAAAAACATTACTTTTGCTATAATTTTTATGGTAATTTTATAGGTCATCTAATAGCAATGCAATTTAATCTTTTGCCTTAAAGAAAGGCCATTTTATTTTTGTTTGATAATTGGAGTCATGGTTTTGAATATTTTGGGTTGATTTTTTTCTTCTTAGAATTATGTGAAGTCACACAAAGTTCTGAGTATTCTCTGGGGACATTGACATTTCATCTTAGAAAATCATCAAAGAAAATGGCACCATTTGTTATGCATAATTGTGAAACACAAGAACTGAAAATATAACATATGGTTATGGACAAATCCAGCTATAAGAAATTTCCCTGTCTATCAACAATAAGCTAAGAATAAAAATGTCCCCCAAAAGTATTCTGAGGTGTTGTACTTGCTAGGATTAAAACCTGCTTACAATGCATTTATTTTCAGCCTCAATAAATGTACTTTCAAAATGAGATTGCAGAGTGTTTCCACCTCCACTTAATAGCCTTGCTCTTCAGTTGGGAACAAACATTAAATATATGTGAACTAACAGGACCAGGACAAAAAGAAACAGCCAAAATGGTTAACAAATCATTACAAGGAAATTTCTGTACACCAATGGCTTATCGCCCAGAGAATCACATCTATTTTCATAAGTACCATGATTCCCCAGTCACAGTGCAGTGGGCAAATCCTCAAAGGAAAATCTGTACATATCAACATTTCTCTTGGTGTTAGGCTCATGCCTACTACATTTTGGGTTTCAAGTGCAAGAAGCCATTTTCAGTATTTCATGCTACATATTTTTTTTTGTCCTTTCCATCAAGGCATAATAGAGTGAAGAAGAAATACACCTCCTTTCCTAGAACAACAAACAAAATGGAAAATTTCAGAAGTGCTGCAGCAGAGCATTCACTTGGTGTGCCTCAAAAAATACCCAATAGGCCAGGGCTTGAGTGTGGAAAGCACAGGAGACACCGCTATAGAATCCACTCTGCTGTTGCCTCTGCTTGATACAGGATGATGGACACTTCTTGGTTGTAATACTCTCACCAGCTAAGCACTGTGTGCCCCTGGGCATGTCCCTTAACTCTTGGCTTCATTTTCTTCCCCTGACAAATGAGATAGACGCTTCTTCTCCAAACAAATATTACAAAAAAGTCCAGCTGCCAGCATGCTGATTGAAGACGTAAGCATTATATAAGAGCTACGTGTGACTAATGCTTGGTGGTTGTACAAGTTATTTCTGCCTTCATTCTGCTTTTTAAGGATGATCTCTTGTTATCAAAAGATGACTACATACGTGCTAGTGATTTCTCAACATTCACGTATTTACATTCCACCCAGAATAAAGCTTACTGTGAATGGAGGGGGAAAAAAAATCAGCTGTAATAACAGTTCTCTGAAATCTAAATCAACTCCACAACATGTTAGTTACCAGGAACGGAGGAAGCTCTGAATTTAATCAACATTTCCAGGTTCTTGCGTACCCACTGTCATCAAAGCTTTATCTTGCCTATGGGAACTGTGAGTGACATTTTTACTGCTTACAATCTTGGTACAGCATAAAAACAGCGGTGCACTAATAATGCCTTTTCCTACAGATTATGTTCCTCCCGGTTATGCTCCTATTATCATATCTTTCTATAAGCCATTGATTTTAAGTGCTTGGTTGTACTGTTGATTGTTTCAATTACCCAGGCATCAATTATGTTTCCTTTCTCCACTAAATTGGCTAAGCCTTAAGGAGAAGACAAGCTTATTTTTTAATTCTGTAACTAATGGAATAAGAGCAGTTTCATGTCATTATTAAGAACAATACAGGAATGCTTTGTTCTTTTTAAACTAACTTGATTCCTAGCCAAAAACTTTGACAAAAGGCACAAGTTGATATATAACAATGCTTGTTACAAGAGTAGAATTTCATATTCCTCTATTATGAGAAAGGAAATAACTGCTTAAATCATTGCAAGAAAGAATCTTCTAATATTTTCCAAGAAAAGGGGAAGTGTCAAATTTTGTCAAAGTGGTGGTCACAATGACTATATATTACATGCAATTAAAAATTCACTTCAGTTGCCTGTTACAACTATTTCAGTCAATTTCTGTTATTTTCCAGTTATGCTATATTTAACTGATACACAAGAAGCAAGCCTCAATCTGTCAGGAAAGTACATATGCTTAAAGTGGTAACAAGCATTTCTAGAAAGCCTTCAAAGGTCACACACATACCCAAATCCTATGGCTACAAATTATATTGCTTCAAAATCTTGTTTCCATATTTATATACAAGTGGGAGAAGGAGGAAGAGGGAGGTGGTATGAGAAACACACTTCAATGAGTTCAAGCACTGGCAAATGATACATCTGAGAATAAAATGTGCTTTTTCTTTCACTGTCCTCCTGAGAGCTAATGATTATTAAATATACATATTCCTTAGAAATGTTAAGATGGATCAATGAGTGTGTCTGGTTTTATCTGTATACATATCTAGCCATATATTCTAGTGTATTATGGATTATCAATGGTGCAGCATGGCCAAGGAGGATGCTGAGGCTGCTGCTGTGGAAGGACAGGGGTGAGGCAGCACAGCTGGTCAAGGGCACCCTGCACACCACCTAAACTGTGCACATGGACAAAGGGAAATGAAAACTAGAACCCACAGAGCAATACAGAGCTCCACATGATGATGAACACATGATGGTTTTGTAGGGCAAACACTGACACCAACTCTCTAGAGAAGCATGGAGGATGGAACCAACTGGGATTTGGGGGCTCAAACATGTAGCAGAAACAAGAAATTTAGCACCTGTGACCAAAGCACAGGTGATCCCTACAGAGAATATGTGCCCCCCTGCACAGAGCTTCTGTGTCTCATTTTTAAAACTTACAAATCATTTGTGATCATCACAGTCCAACCCACTGTGGGAGTGGGAAGGGTGAAAAAACATGGGGAGAAATCACAAAAATTCATCTAGAATACATTTCCTTGGAGTATTTTGGATCATATTCTGGACATGGAGTAAAATTAAATTAATTCTGAAGACTTCAGCTCTGAAGAAGTTGTGCATACAGAGCATCAACATCTATTTCTTAAGGAATTTGCCAGCTGAAACAAGAGGATAACAGGGTTTGCCAGAGGTCACCCAATGCAAACCCATTTTTGCAAGCAAAAATATATTGCTGCTATTTGCCTTTCAAAACTTAACCTTTCCCTTGGCCAGTCCATAAGCTTTTGCTCATTAATTAAAATATTACCACTCAGCTTGCATTTTTCTTGGCTCTCCTGCTGGAGATCACAGTTTCAGTAATTAACTGAATGGTTCACCATTCTTCTATAAAGTCACAGGTTGAAGGGGGATTAAATTTTTACAAGGAGTTTTACAACACAAAACAGAAGGCAGCAGCGAAACAGGATCTAGGCATGGCATTCCTGTGAATAAGATGGTGTTACTTGAGCCCTCCAATTTTTTTAGAAGGTTTCCACTTACAAAAGCAATTATGAAAACACCCCAAAATATTAGCAGCAACTAAACTTACAAATGACAGAAAATATGTATCTGGGAGTTGTTTTGATATACTTGTCCCAGTATAGGATAAACAAAACACTGTTAAAGTGGGCAGAGAAGGGACAGCAGTACAAATGCCTGTTTTTTCTGTAAGAAAATTCCTGCCGAGAGCATGTAAAACAATGACCATAGGGGGGAAAAAAAGAATTATCTTACTTGGAAGAGAAAACATTTGATTCATTTCACAGTGCTAAGAAGTATCTTCAAGTACCTGAGTATGAAGAATGCCTCTGACACTGAACTTGGAATAGCCAAGTACATAGTTCACACAGGTTACCAGTGTGCATCAGCAGCCGTCTCCAGGATGCAATCCAAGTCCTCTAGAAATGTGCCATCTTGATCTCCTCCTTTCTGTAAATTATTTAAAGTTGCAACTTCCAGGGCTAGTGTACACTGTTAGTGCCCAAGACTGAAGCAGCAACACGGCAAGTCTTACTTCACTAGATTAGATGCACAGAAACAAAACATGATCACAGGCATCCTTTTACAGCAAGTAAATTTTGCATTATCTACAGCCCCACTGGTGGAAACACTATTGGTGAATTTTTCTCTGAGGAGTCATACACTCTCTTTCCTCCCCTGCCATGTTTTACATCATTTTAGGGCAGAGATTTTGTTTGAGTCATGACCGGTGATTATTTCAGCAACAACAAGAAGCAGACACACTTCATCAGTTTGACCAGATAAAATCCTGAGTAGAAAGTCAAATTTTGCAAGGGCTGGATCAAGACAGTGTCAAATGTAGCAGACAGTTGCTGTTAGTTCCAGCCTGAGCAAGCTTCAAATGCGCACTCAGCTCAGAGGTATGGAACTGAAAATGGAAAAGGAAACCTAGTGAAGAACTGGACTGTGAGGATAAGAGCAAAGAGGAAT